AAAAAAAAAAAAACCAAAAAAAAAAACAACAGTAGATTTAAGAAAACAGATTTCAGCTAAATTATATTAGAAAGGGGCATAGTGGGGATACCATGAATTACAAGGTATAATTGGCAGCAGAACTTTGGAAGGAATATTTGTTTTGTGTTATCCTGGTAAGAATAAGAGGGGAAGAAGAAGTAAAGCAGTATAAACTCCAGCCGTGGGTTCCTTGCCACATTCCTGGTCAGGCTGTGGAGCATCTCCCTTCCCATGAGAGGGCAGCAGCTGCCTGTGAGTGCTGCCACTTCAGCCTCGCTGCTGAAACCGGCCGATAAAGCTGCTTTCTATGCAAAAYTGTTGTGACTTTGGTTCAAGTATCATAATTTCCAGAATGTTCAATCACCTACGCTTCACTTTCACACTGCCTGGATGACTCTGTGCTGTTTCTGTTGTATTTTTTATGATCTGCAAAATGATGCAGCRCAACAGCAACCCCCTGTGATAATGCCACAGAGACTGACTCACCACAATGCAGCTAAGGATACAATACTTTAACAAATGACTAGGCAATAGAAGATGATCTGTTGGATTGATTTAATTTAAAAGTGCATCCATTCTTAAAGAGCTCCACTGGGATGATGCACACATCCCTGCTTTTCTCTAAATCGTTTCAGGGAGGCACTAGAAACAAGCAAGTGTAAGGCTAAACAAGCATCTCCCTGCTCAAATTGTGGGACTCTGATTAAGAGTCTCATAAAGATGTGGCATACCAAAAGCCTTAAGCACACATCAAATTTTGTCCCACTTTGGCACCCAGCAAGATGCTTTGCTGAGTTAGGATGGGAGCTCGAATTTTGGCATCRGCTTCCGGATAAGTTCAATGGTTCATTAGATCCAGCACTGTAAATTATAAAACCAGCTCTCTGAATAAAAGAAATAAAATAAAATAAATAAAAGAGGAATCCAAAAGGGATCAGGGGGAGCAGCAGTACCTCTTTCACARAAGGTTCCTGTCCAGCCCGCCGTGCATGTGCAGGCTCCGCTGACGTGGTCACAGGCAGCTCCGTTCTGGCACTGACAGCTGGACCCACAGCTCGGGCCAAAGCTCCCCTCGGGGCACCCTGCAGACAGGAACCACAACCAGATGATGGGTTAATGCCAGGGCACATCAGGGATCAATGGGGAGTTCTTAGATGCATGATAAATCGGACTATTTCCAAAAGAAGAATCAAGGCATAATGGTAATGGCTTAAAAGTAAAATTTGAGTGTTCCCCTAGAGGTAAGTTGGGCTACATTAAGATCTATTTTAGAAAAATTCCAGAGTGTTGAAAGACTAAATTTTGCACAGAAAAATAACATCTTCTGTTGCAAAACCTGAGGGTTCACAGGTTCTGCCTGTGGATACTTTGCCCACTGGTCTGGAGTTGCTTATGTTCACATCTCTGSGACTTCATCAACTGGGAGGGGAGAAGCTCCTCTGTTTTCCTGCAAATCCTCTTTCCCCAAAAAAYTGGAGAAAATATGAAATGTGTTGGTTGCCTTCACAAAACTCCAAATGGAATGCTGCACACTTTACTTTTGTGCCCTGCTTTGAAAAGTCCAAGTGAAAACACTACATCTGGGGGACAGATTAACAATTACATTTCCACAGCAGTTAATGTGAGGAGTTTTAAAAGATTTGCATGGTACTCGCCATCAGAAGGAAGAAAACATTTGCRAATGAAAGTAATTTCTTTCAGGATTATAGGAAAATCAATTAAGAACAGGGCCAGTTGCCTAATTCACATTGGATATTTTGGACAGGCTGAAACACAGAGATATACTTGGCTAAACACAATATTACAGGGCCTCCACTCATGCTTGAAGGTCTTGTGAACATCCCTCTAAATGATTTATGGAGATTATTGCCAGATTTCTTCCAGAAATGTATGATTTTTGCATTTACATCAACAAAATGATTTTTGGGGCAGTCTGGAAGGAATTACAGAGACCAGAAAACAAGGGTTCTCAAAGACAACTCCAAGCCTGGAGTAGAGGGGTGGGTTTGGTGTTGTCTGTTTGGTGCAGTGGGTGGGCAGTGATTGGAGCTGGCATGAATTTAGGTGCTCCTGCAGCTCAGWGATTCTGCCAGCTGGAGCCAATCCCTGCATGTTCTACAGAGAAGCTGGGATGGGAGACAGGAGAAGAGCAAGATTCTTTAAGTATTTCTTTGCTTTCAAAGAGTCAAAAAACAGGGCATTGTTTAAATGTGAATATGTTTGAATCTGTTTTCTTTTCACATTAACAGCTGAAATTCAGTCCATCCATTTCCTCCTCCCAAAGCTGCAGATCCCTGTTTAACAAAGAAATACACAGAAGAGCCTTAGAAGCTTGATCCTTCCCCATGTTTCCTTTTCCAAAATTTCAGTAAATCTGTGCAAGGGAAATGGTGCTGCAGTGCAGCAGGAGGTGTGGGGCTCTCCTTCAGACCCACGGAGTTCAGCCTGGAGCTGAGGCTTTTCAAGGTGATGGCAAAGG